AGATAGAACAACGGGAGCGAGGTGAAGAGCGTGAGCGAGCACTCAGCCTGGAGATTGAACGGTCGGAAGAAAAAATCGAGGCGATGAGGCGGAAGATTGAGCCATCCGCAACTGTAGCACACGAGAAGTGCAAGGATCTAATAAGTGAGGTGCAGCCCAGAACTTTAGAGAAGGCTAGCACATGTGAAGAGCCCAGCAGGTTCGAAGATGAACCAATTGCGAGAGCTGCGAAAGATGCTACTTTAATGAGAGAGGCCACTAAAGGTCAGAGCGAGTGCGACGAGGTGCTGTGCCAGTTAACTGTTAGTGAAACAGCCAAGATAGCTGTAGAAAAGCTGGTACAGACCTCAACTGAGTTTGTCGCAACGGTGGATCTTGCAAACAGTGTGGAAGTACGCAAGGACACCGAAGAAAGCTCAGAAGCAGCGAAAGTAGGTAGCGGGGATATCAGTGCAGTCGCAGACAGCTCTCAGCAATGCGAGCTAGAGTGTTTGCAGGAAAGCAGCTGCACTGTTCCTAAGAGCGTCAAGCTGTCCGCCGATCTAGAGTGTGAAATAGGTGTTTTTTTCGAAAATCATCTAGACGGAGCGGCGTCGACAGCTGACGAGGGCAGTGAGAGTGTTAGCGACCTTGAGCTGCGAGCGGTAGGCTCAGAGACGAGTCGCAGGAAGCGGCGCAGACGCAAGAGACGTCGCAAAGTCGCGAGTGAGACAAGCAGCTCTACGCATGTTCAGAAAAGTTTGAAGCCCATTAGCGCAGCAAGCAGGACTAGGCATTTTGCGTCAGCGTCAAAGTTCATTTGTATGCGTCTGAACTGCCGGACGAAAGAAAAGGGAACAGCGGGTCCTTTGCAAATGAAGTCAAATGGGAGGCGCCAGGTTAGTTGGGTGCGTGAGTACCAAGTTAAGACAGGTGAATCGGCGCGACATGGCAACAATGCTAGGAAATGGAACTGCCAAAGCAATGTGGCAGGTGGTGCAGAAACGCCATTGATCTGTAGAACAACCGATGACGCCACCCGAGGCAAACCTCCTAGCTGTGGGGGAAATGGTCGCAAACGTTGCCGCAAAAACGCGGAACGACTAAGGAATATAAAAGGCGACGTTCGGCCGGGTGAACGAGCCCAGGGTAAGTCATCGGCCAGTTCAACAACAAGGTCTTTGTGTCGTGCAGTAAGGTACAAGCGGCGAACTGGTAGTGTACAGCGCGAGTCCTCCCGACGGTATACGCAGTGGAGATTTAGAGCTTTTCACGGAAAAGAGTGTCGACGTGGTCCTAGAAGAAAGACCACAATAGCTAAACACCGCTCGGCTAGACCAAATAGGACACCGTCACTCTTTGCCTTGCATTGCTCGGGTTCCCTCCGCAGGATTGACAGAGGTCGGACGAAATCGCAAATGAGGCGTAACGCTGCCGTTCAGCGGGTAGCACGTGCACGTTGTTGCCTCGGGCGTCCTTGCAATCCGGCAAGGCCGCGACCGCCGCGTGTGCGATTGAGATGAGGGACAGCTGTAAGCTGGAGAGAGTGACAGGGGAATTTTCTTAGAAGCATGTTTGTTGGCTTAATTTTGGTTTTAAAGTAGTGTTCCTTTGTCATCTCCCCAGCTAGTTCGTGTAGCAGCAGGTTTTCCCTTTTAGACTTTTTAAAAGCATTGTAAGTGTTTTAGTTGAATTACAGGGAAATGGCCTATGGTTAGGTGCGCGATTGGTGTGCTGACGCTCTTTGGATGAGAGTATGATGTCGTGCTAGGGCGCACAGCAATGTGCGTTCTTTAAAAACATGGGCTGACATGAAACTACATCCAGCACATGAGCGTGTTAGTACACGAGTTGCATTTACCTTTGTTATTTTAGTATGTGCTCAGGAATCAAGTGAAATTCTTTAGCTGAGCGTTATGTTATATCGAACGTTGAGATTAGAGATGCGTTTTAAGGATTTACACAGTTCGATATCTTGAGAAAATTTACGTTCAGATGAGGCTTTAAGGATACCTAGGTGAGAGAGCTATCACCTATGGTAAGGTGCGTGTGGGTATGCTAGCGCTCTTTGGATCAAAGTAATATGTCGTGCTAGAGCGCACAGCAAAGTCATGTGCGTTCTTTAAAACCATGGGCTGACATGAAACTACATCCAGCAAAGGAGCGTGTTAGCAGACCAAGTTTACTTCGTTTTGTTGTTTTTGTGATCACTTAGGGATCATATATGATCACTTGAGCTGAAAGCACTGCGTTCACCAAAATTTTGAGACTAGATACATTTCTAGGATTTATAAGACGCAGTTTGATTTGATGTGAGAGAGTTTTGTTCGCGTCAGGGTGTCATAAAAGTAGGTATTCTCGACCACACCTTGCAAGTATGTATTGAGAGAATGAAGAAAGCGCCCAGATAACTTGTGTATAGGGTAGGGCAGCATTGGTGTGAAACCTTTGTATTTGGTTGTGTTTCATGAAATTAGTCAGGAAATTAAATGTCAGTTACAACTTAGTAGTGCGGATGGTTGGAGAAAGCTAGTTGTGAAAGAGTGATTCTCGTTTATGGGGCCAAATTGTGTTTGCCTTTGTGTGCTTTTCTCACACGGCAATTTGTTTCATCTTTAGTAAGCATCTCCACGTCCATGATTGTTGTAACTTTGGCGGCACAAAATTGTTTCAAAATTTTAGCGTACAGGTTTCTCTTTTGTTTGTGTTTCGAGAAGCCTGGAGGGTTGTAAGCGGGTCCAATGTGCTTGACTGCAGCATGGTATTGTGTTGTGTGGTTCGCCTTGCTGTTGTCGGCCTTTGTGAGCTGGTTTGGGAGTTGGTTTCGAGTACGCAGCTGGAGAGAACAGCCAGGCCATCGTCCTCGTCACCACCCATTCTCTTCGTGCCCAGCGGTTGAGAGCGCTGGCCAGCCAAGATTTTCCGGGCGGCGGAGGAGCTGTTAGGTTTGGCCTGGGGATTCATCTCTCAATCCCTTCGGCGCCCAGTCTTACCGACGCTGTCAAGTATTTGAGTGATTATTCCAGTCCAGACGGCGGGCAGAGGCGAGTTCACGTCCTTCAAAAGCGGACCTTTTGTCGTCGCTTCAAGCAGAAGCGGTGACTAATGGACTCGGCGACTCATCGGGCGACGGCAAAGCTGTCGTGGCCGGCGCCGGAGCTGACAGAGGAGCGGTGCTCCCTTTTGATCCCCAATCACCAAGCCGACCGGCCGACTGCCTATGCTCGTCAGGCACTGTACGTGCTAGCCGGAGGACCAAGACGTCGTGTCGCCAAGACGCCATCAGCCGTTCGAGAGAGGCCAACAAAGACGGCGTCTTTCTGAAAGAGACCGCGACGGACAGCGCACGCAGATCGCCCCGCTAATTGGGCGAGCTGTGCAGTGGGCCCTTTGAAGTATGCGGCCCGGATCGTGGGAACGCTCGTCTAACGGCACACCCACGACGAGGACCAGCCCTGCTGGCGCCACCACCGTGCAGTGTTCACGTGGACCTTGTATGTTTGCCCCCCTCACCTGTGTGTGCGTGATTGGTGTTCGACTCTGAGAGGAGGAGCCCGACAGGGCATAAAACGACGCGGAGAGTGCTGGACATTGCGCTCTCAGAACCTGGCTCTGAACTATGTAGTGTTCAACCACCACGCTCGTGGTTTGTTAAACCACTATCCCTTCTTTTCTGTAAATAAGTGTAAATAATGTCATAAACCTCTGTTATGTTTCTCGTATCCTCTTGTCTGCGTTCAGTTCCTCCATCCGGATGCTATCACCTGCAACATCTTCCTTCCCACATCTTACAACTGGTGGCAGCGGTGGGATGCCATCAGCGAGCGACCTTCCTTCCCATCTCTTACAATGAACAAAGCATAAAAGATGATCTGTTATCCCCATAGACTCAAGAAGACAAATTATCGCGCTTTTAAAATCATAGTCATATACTTTTGAAACGTCCAGAAGTATTGTCAGCGTTGAAAAGCTGTATGCTCGTTGGTGGCTCACCAAGTCTAAGATGTTGTCTTGTGCACTCAATCATTGCCGAAACCCAGTCATACATGCTGGAAGAGCCTTGTGATTCTGAATCCATCATGTCAGTCAAATACAGGCCAGCTTCTCCATCAGCTTCGCTACACACGAAGTTAGTGATACTGGTCGATATAGTGCCACTTCTGTCCTGTCTTTACCAGGCTTCAGCACCGGCATGACCCAGGCCATTTTCCAAATTTGAGGAGTGTTGCCAGCAGCAAGCATAGGACTGGGTTAACTGGCAGAACATGGGAGATGCCTTCGTCCTGCAGTGGACATAGTCAGGCTGATGATGATGATGATGATGCCAGACTCCCACACATAGTTTAAATACATCAGAAGCTTACTCCTCACTTCTGCTAGTCGATTTGAAATCATTTGGTTTGCAATTCTGTCAGGTCCGGGAGCGCAGCGTAAGAGAACTTATGGCTGACGTCGGTGCCCGCAGCTTAAAAGGTGCGTTGATGGTACATGCAGAATGAATTGGAAGTGTAGATGGTGGTTCACTTTCTCTTCTAATAACATAAATGCCAGCAAATTCTTCGGCTGGAGATCGCATTGATATATCCTTGAATAGCACGAGGGCAATGAAAGGTCTCAAAGGCTGGGACGTGCTTCCGACACTATTTACTGCTCGCTAGATCCTTGGCAGTGGAGTAAATACACTTAAACTCTCACTAAACGCTGCCTATTGTTTCCTCTGAAGCTTTTTGGTGCGTCGTCGTATTGCTGCATTAAGTCTGTTGGACTGGGTGTTTAGAGCTGGTTTGCCACTTCTTTGCTTAAGTTTTTTCTCTATCCTTCACCTCACTGAGGTTCTTCGTAAATTCATTGTGATCATTGGGTGCTATATATGTAAGGGCTGTTTACATGAAACCCTGTTCTTTTCTAGCTGATTTTTGGTTACCATGCAATTCAAACTATCAGCGTATAACATTCAACATTCACTGTATAACATTCATAGTGCAAAACTTACAGGCGTTCTCTTTGTGTTTGTCTTGCAGGACCACACTTGGGCATTCAAACCTTTCAGAATGCACGGGGACCGCCACCGTATGGGAACCAACAACCAGAATCTTTCATGCGACCCCCATTTGTGTCACAGGGGGGGCCTCCCCATGTGCTCCGCACAGAGCCTTTTGTCTCTGCTGCCTTACTCCATCCTCCTCAGCCACTGTCACACCACATGACTCGGCCAAACCTGCCGCCCCAGCACTTCCCACCTGTGAGTGACATAGCCTCATAGCTTTGCACCACAAATGAAGACTGTTCATTGTCTTGCTGGTTCATTTTGTTGCTCATTCATCTGACTCGATGCCGATATTCGTGTAGTAACTCCACTGTGGTTCAGCTCAAAGAGATACAAAATTGTTGAACACGGGGTGTATCTGTAGCCAGTGTTCTAGCAAGCAGTCGTATCTTTTCCAAGATTGCAACTGCTTACCTTAGCCCATAAATGTGTATGCTTCGTACCAACTCCTCCAAGCTAAACAGAGAGAGTAAGAAAGGGCAAGGGTGATAATAGTGGTGGGGGAGAAGGTGGGTGGTGCAGAATTGAGTGAGTCAAAAGGGAGGAAACAGGAATAGAAAAACATAAACAAATTAAGACGAGGGTAAGGGGTGAGCAGGGATGCAACAGCTGCGTCAATTGCACCAATTTGATACAATTCCTCATTTTCTCACTGAGCTGTGCCAGAACCATGAAATCTGCCGAAATTGCGCCATGCTGCATTAGAAAGGCTGTGTACTAACTTCAGCGAGAAATGAATGCCATGTTGGCCACCTATAGTTTGTGTCCTAAATCAATCCAGGTATATAGGGGCGCTGACCCTTACCCTAAAGCACAGCGGGACGTTTGCGAAACGCGATCGACCAGATAAAGTAACTATGCCGCACGCCTGTTGGTCTGCTGGCCGCAGTGGATAAAAAAAGTCACAGCTTTGCACAAAGGCGAAGCAATGAACGCGATAGCAACAAATCGGAAGGTCACGCACAGAATGGCAAGCAGATGGAAACGTTCCCCGCGTTTCTCACGCATAAATGATGCGTGAAATGTACTCACAGGTACAGATGAACACGAATAAGCGTCTGAGTTGTTACCGTCTAAACCGGACTATAGGTCGAGTGGGAATATAGGCCCACCTCCCCAAGTTCAGGTTACCGAAAAAGAAAAAAAAGGAAAACAACCCAAAACTGCCGAACCACATTTATTTGCGAATTGGGTGCACCGCATCCCGATCGTCGGAGCTCCCCTCAACCACTATTGCTACTGCTCCTATTCGTCCGACGAAGCACCACTGTCTTCTGAAGACGAGAGTTTGTCGCTGGCCGCCTTCCACAGTGCGTCGTCTTCAGTGCCATCCAGCGAGTTGCTAATGCAACATTTCTTGAAAGCATTTTCCACCATGGAATCCGGCAAGGAGCGCCAGACCGAAAGCACCCAGCCACAAACAGTCGCAAGCGGAGGCCTCGGTAGGCGGCCCGTCGATGTCTTGGGGTTGTCGCCAGACATCGACTCTTTGGTATTCCAGCCGCACTCGGTCCTTGAACGGCTTGTTTAGTACAATGTCGAGCGGCTGGAGGGTGGACGTCATACCACCTGGTATCACGGCGAGGTCCGTTTTCCCGTCGCCGAGTGCCTGTTCACTGCGTCGGTTAAGGGGCTACGAAACGCATCCGACACCAGCATGCTGCGAAGACGCAGCAGTGCACCTGGCCGACGGTTCCACACCACTCGTATCCATTCGAGCATGATGGCCTTTTCCGTGTATCCCTTTTTGTTGACGCGAACGACAACACCGGGCGAGAACACTTCCTTCGGCTTTGTCTTGCGTTTGAAAATGACGAAGGGCGGAAGCTTTCTACCATCTGCCGTGCATGCCAGCATAACGGTGAAGCGCCAGTGCTCCAGTGGACAACAGCTTCACATCCTTCGCGCCGCGCTGCGTGATCGTGGTCGACGAAGGCATGTCAAACCACACGGGGATCTCATCGGCATTGCCAATCTGCCCCATCATGTAGTCGTTCTGCTCCCGAAGCTGGTTCACGAAGCGCTGAAAGTTTATGAGCTTGTCCTCAAACTGCTCCGGCAACTTCTGACAGATGGATGTGCGCCGCCGGAGAGAAAATCCTTTGCGTCGCATAAATCGATGCACCCAAGAGTTTGGTGCACGGAACTTTTCTCTCGTGAGCCCAGCTTCCCGAGCGAGTTCCACGGCTTTCTTGCGAATGGTATCCACGGTCACTGGCAGCGAGCGCGCACGAACTTCCCGCACAAAGTCCGCTAGCTTATCCTCCAGCTGTGGATGAACGGCACTTCGTCCACGAAACGACATTTTTCGAGGATTGTACATCTGCAGCTTCCCTTTCTGCGCCCTCCAATAGCACACGCTTTTTTCCGACACACCAAAGCGGCGCTGAGCAGCCATATTCCCGTTCGCTTCGGCGAACTTAACAACATCTAGTTTAAATGCAGCTGAGTACTGCCTCTTTGCACCGCTAGACATATTCAGTGAACGAAAAAAAGAAAGGCCACTAAAAATGCAGCATCCGGCTTCACAAGCACATGCAAGCCACATGTTGCCAGACAGCGTCGCACTTTCGGCTAGACACCGTTATATAATACGAGGGGCGACTTTAGCTTATTATATCATTGAAAATATCTCGACTTATATTCCGGCGTATACGGTACCTCGCTGTGTCTTAAAAGCGCGCCTTTTCGCCAACGGAGGCTGTGCAACGATTGCAGTGACCTTTGTGCGCCCGGTAACTATAACAGAATCGGTCGGACGAAAACCAAAGGCTAGCCAAGATGTAAAATTCTCCCAACTGCAAGATAAGGGTGCGGGATCAAGCGTACACCCCGTTATTCTTACGCGGGCCTAAGTACGCATGAGAGATGAGAGCCGCCGCACGCTCACTGCGCCGTCTTGCTGATAATGCTGAAAACATGGTAGTTGCCCCCAAGATGCCCGCCAACAGCTGTAAGTGGTAGATATGAATAGCTTGGCGTCTGAACATTGAAAGAAGTACTTCTCGGTGGCTCAGTGGTTGACGCCTCGCATTCACGATGCAAAGGTCCCACGTTCGATTCGGCGCGCCGTCGTCCTTTTTTGGGGATTTTTTTCTTTCTTGAGTTTTCATATATACAGATACGTATACATATACGGTGCATGACGTCGACGTTGACGCCGGTGGCGAAATACAGCCGATAGTGTCCATACAATTGCTATCGCAATAAAACTGAAGCTTGAAGTGTATGCCATTTTTACTGCATGCAAACAAACTAGGCGTGCTGTGAACGCCAGCATTTCCGACGACCACATTTACTTGCCATAGCAACGGCGCATTCAATAGATACGAAATGCTGTCAACAGGCCAATGGGCATGTGCCAGTGTTGCTTTATTTAGTCAAACGTGCCTCGCAAGCGTGTTTGACTAAATATTCAATCTTTGAAGTTGTGCCCTTAATCTGACTCCATCATGATAAAGAAAAGGAGGGGGGGCTGTAGTTGTTTGAAAGTTTTTGGCCTTGTTCTAACCCGTGCAGAACACCGCGCCACCTTCGCCACAGTACACCGATAATCTGCAGGAGAAAAAGTGTTTAAGTGGGGGTGAGGGCTTAATATAGCACAAAATTGTATAAAATGCTGACTTTCAAAAATTGTAATTTGAGGTATTTATAGTTGAAAGTATCTTTTGGAAAAATTTTATATTATGTCAAAGTACCATTCATTTTCGTTAAAAGCCTAATATATGAAATTACAAATGTTTTTATAACTGGAAACGTAATTTTCTTGTCATTGTTATTCTTGTGAAGTGAATCTGCCTTACGGAAGTTTTGAGCAAGTTTCTGTGAAGATATCTAAACAAACTTGGTGCCATTCTTTTCCGCAGCACTTGGCCTTTCTTTTTTCTATTAACCTTGATAGAATTGTAATTATATGATAAATATGAAATGATTACTGGAGGCTCATTTTTACCTTCCAAGTTTAAAAATTATTTCTGATCAAAGAAATGGCCGTTCTGACATCTAGTTTGCTTTAGCCTGTGGGATGAACCTTCTAGAGGAAACATATAATTTTGAAAACTAACTTTTTTATTGCAAGTTACCAGTAACGACCCATAAGAAATTACATAAATATAGTATGGTAATTTGTCATTACCTTTTTCTGAATTTATATATTTGAAATCTGTTTGCAGATTTGAAATCTGCATTCAATGGTGTGCATGCATAGGTAATTTTCATGACAGGAGGATAACAAATAAACTTTTATAGAGACCCTCGTCCCCCCTTAAGGTTTAAAAGGGGTTGTTAGCATTTGTCCCAGGATAGAGCACAGTTTGTTCAATTACTCTTGCGTGTATACGCCGCATAATTGTGATTATTAGTATGATCACTGACAGCTTAAAAAGTTTTTGGCAATTGCTTGGAGCACTGTATAACATTTGTGCAGCCCTAAAAAAAATCAAAACTGTGTGCCAGTTTCTTTCTTTTTTCAACCCCTAAGGTCGCCTTCTTGGTAGATCCACGTTTGAATCCTCAGAGTCTGTCAAAGGATTTGACCGACATGGCAAATGGCTAATTATCATTGTTTGCCGAGTGGGGTGGTTCAAGATATTTTTATTGAAATAGCACTGCTAGTATTCACTCTGCACGATTTAGGCGATGTTGAATCGTTTGTACATATATTTTTTTTTCTGAATGAAAGCCTTATTTTTGATACTGCTCCAAATTTGTTTTTTTTTTGTGATAAAAAAAAGATATATAATTGTTTTCTCTATCACCTGCTCCAAATTTGGATTTAAGTGCTCTAAATGTAACATTTCGGTGCTCCAAAAATTGCTCTAAATTCTATTTCGACTGTTGCACTCTTGGGTGGGGGACTCATTTGTATAGGATAGAAGGGACTTGGAGGTATTGCTGACACCCACCTACCCCCCCCCTCCCCCTTTTATTTAACAATATTGTCAAAGAAGAAGAAAGAATGAAGTGAGAGAGGCGTTGTTGGGATATTGGCCTCCTCCCCTTCATTTTCTATGGTGTATGGGTAGACATGGAAAGCAAACATGAAGTTGAAACCATGCTGGGGTGTCACTGAATTTTGTTCATCTTTTCATTATCACAAGAACATGCTTCAGTTTTAATAGTAAGCCTACCTACATTCATGTAAATGTAGTACGACTCCAGGCTTTGTGGAGTTGTGGTGATGGGTGCCAACGGAGTTGCGGTGATGGGTGCCAACGGAGTTGCATGATTGCATGCAGGCCTTGGATCACTTCGTGGTAGCTGGACAGTCTGAGGGCTTTGAAGTACCGGTGCAAGGTGCAAGGTCCTCTGATTTTAGTGGACCGCAGCCCCCGCTGGGATCTGATACATTTAGGGTATGTGCATGCTTATGGCAGCAACTCTTTCAAGCCACAAAGGCACTGTGAAAAGCTGATATAAAGATAACGAAGCAAAAAACAGTGCAAAAACACAAGACAGTAAAAGAGACACACGAAGCACTGACTTACAAACCATCAACTTAACAACAGGGTTGTAAGTCTGCGCTTCGTACATATTTTTCACTGTGTTGTGTTTTTGCGCTGTTTTTCGCTTCATTCATCATGTATCAACCGGCTCAAATAAGCACTTTAGATATACAGACATTTTGCTCTTACATTGGTTGTGAGGCAAATTAACACGCATGGCTTCTCAAAGTGTCCTGTTGCATTTTCTTCCTTGATTTTCATTTTAACATTAAAGAAAATTGTCATGCTCGTGTTTTGATCTGCTCAATAACCCCTAGTTTTATGTTAACAGCCTTGATTATACAGTCGAACGCTGCTACAACAAAACTGACGAGGTACGGTAAAAATTTCGTTGCAATGAAGTCTACAGAATATAGCTGATCTGAGCCAGCAAAACATAGGAACGTTCATTCTCAAAATAATAATAAGAATGGAAAATAAGGAAACTGCTATAAATCTGGATGCAACGTGCTTGGTTTTGCATTTTGGGGCATGAATTGATGAAATTGCTGCTTCTTCCGGTGCTCTGGGCGGTCTTTGCGCGATGAGCTTAAGTGGGTTGGTCGACTGCTGATGTGTAAAATGCCCATCCACGGTTTCGAGGAGCTAGTGAGCGATTTCATTCGTTGCTTGCAGCAAAGTACATAGCGGTTTCTTTGCTTTTTTTGTATCTACTTGGGCATTGTTTTTGTGTGCGAAGTCCGGATTGGTCTTGTACATTGCAGTACTGTGAGTGAATTTAGTCCTAGCCATGGCTCCAAGAATCAAGTTCGATCAGGGTGTGCGTGGCTGCAGCGCCCAGTGTTTCAAAGAATGTACATCATTCTTCATTGCTACAGTCAAATCTCGTTATAGCGAACCTCAGGCTAATGATTTTACAGATTGACTTTTTCGAAAATCTACCTCCAAATTTTCATTGGTTTAATGTAAAAGTATTTCACTACTACCAATTTCAGAACACCGAGTGTGTAAGAATAACGTAGCAAATTTGGTCGTTCTTATACAGTGAAACCCCGTTAATACGTACCTGCTGGGGACGACGACGTAACTACACATTAAAAGTACTATGCATTAACCACCAGCTACAAATTTGCATCTTCTGGCATGCGCCATCGCCGCTAACAAAAAAAGAAACTTGATGCCACTGGAATTATTGTCTGAAAAGCCCACCGCAAAGCCATTGCTTTTTCTTTAGCTAAAGCACAGAAATGTTTCTGTCTCTCGCACAACTGCCCAATAGCATGCGGTGGCGACACCAATGAGCATTTCGAAACAGCGTGCTACAGCGACAGAATGGACACAATCGCCCGTTTGTGATACAGCTGATCCGTGGTCTGCTTCTAAGCGAAAACTGATGTCGTTTTCTTTTTTAAAACGCGGTAGAGTCGCAGAGAGCCAAAACTTTTACTGCGTGGCTAGCTGCATGCAGCACTTCGCTCACTCAGTGCACACCGTGACTGCCGATCCGCTTGCTGTTGAGTACACCCTCTCCGCTTCAGGTCATGCACAGATTTGGCGACTAGCCTGCTGTGTTAAAGGGACACTAAAGTCAAATAACTGTTTACGTCAGAGTGAAAGCTCAATGTATGAAAACATCTAAAACGACAATGTTATCAACAACAGTGCCCTACTTACCGAGAAATTAAGGTAAATCCACAAGAACACAAGCACCACAGTAGGACATTCTCAAAATGATCCCGATGACATCAGACGGACTGTCTACAAATAATCACTAGTAATCGATCTAGCTGCACTAAATAAAGGACCTTCCATGCATCAAGAGGTGCAATAAAATGCTGTTGTTCATTTCTGTTTGATTCATGGAAAAAGAACCGCTAACGTTACTATGGGGAATGACGCGAGTGGTTCCGAAATTCAATTTTCATGTAGTTACACTCTACATGTGCTGTCATCTAGCGGGGTGCAGTTGAAACAAAAGCGTCTGCAATCTCTAAGCCAGTGGCTAGAAATTTATCAATGGTCGTTGTTGCTGCTGTGGCTCCTGCTGCTTTTGGTCTGCTGCTACTAGCTCAGTAAAGCCGGGCAACATTGTGCACAGCAACAGTGACGTAAGCCGGTCAGGTTGGTTCGCTTCTTGAGGCGGGTAATTTGAACTGCGCTAACCCGATGGGAACCACTAAAACATAATGTTACCCCGCACCTCCATCAAATATGTTACGAGAAGGGGACCGACCCACAGGAGTAGTCACAGATGTATTTACAGCTAGTTAAGCGAGCAGTGCGAGCCACTTAGATTAGCTCGCACCAGTCTATATGCTTTGTCTTCTTAATCTCCATGCATTGGCACGTAGCAATATTATTTCGAAATAGGCCCTTCTTGGCATAAAAGTAGCACTACGAGGTTTCTGGAGCGCTATTTCAACAATCAATGTTGACTTAATAGTTGCCTTTAGTGTCCCTTTAATACGGCGACGAAGAGCTTTCCGCAAGCAATGTGCTCTCCACGATATTCTAGCAGTCCTGGCAGCGCACAGAGGCGCATTTGGGCTGTCGCTAAATAAAAGCATGCAGCATGGCAACAACAGCGCTACGCTCGCTGTACGGTGCGCATGCTGGCATAACACAGCAAGGTTTTTCAATGCCTGCAATCCGCAACACTAAACTCCGTGACAGCGGGCTGCTTGCGTTTTTGTAAAGCGGTGCGCACTTGAACATGGTCACGCAAAACGAAGCGGCAGCGATCGGTGGCCCAGCGCTTTCAAGTAGTCACCTACTTAAAGCGTGCAGTAAAGTGACTGTACGCCACACGCGTGCCTGAGCAGATAACCGGGGGTGTTTACTGTGATCAGGCTTTTCGCCGGCGATAAGTCAGTACCGGCGCGTTTGTCGGTGGTCGCCACTTTGCCTTCGTTTTTCCCCCGATAGTTACTCGCAATGTCATCAGCCGCAATTGTGCGAAAGTCGAAATAACTTATTGGCTGATCTCAGCACTTATCAACATGATGGAAAACCGTTGACGGCACATTGTGGCATCTGCAAAGTTCAGCGGAGTTGCAAAATTTTGTCACGAAGAATGTTATCGCTGCACGCAGTTAGTATGCACTAACTGGTAGGCATAGGTCAAACTCTACGCCTTAAGCGGTCCGCGAAGGCATTAGTTTCTATGAGACTCGGTCGAGGATTCGTTGCAACTACGTTTTAACCGTTAGTACGCTTAAAGCGGGTACCCACTAACGAAATTTGACTGTATTTCCACAACACTTCAAAATAATGATCAGCGATTTTGAAAGGTTACTCGCGACTGTAAAAATAATGCCAAACTTCGTAGCGGCCACTACCATCATTATCGAAATGCCCGCGTATTTTTCTATCTGCCCGCCCTATTCGAATATGCGATAGCCCTATCGCCATTATCATTGCCTGGTACTTGTTTTTCGCGTCGGGCTTCATCCCTTTGCTAGCCATCCTACCGTTTCCTTTGTTTTTGTCGGGCAGCTTGATCTGTGAACTTGTTACACGGCTGTTCTGAAACCATTTAGTTGGTGGTTGAATGTTCAAGATGAGCCCTTGAAGCAGCACGAAAGGAATGTTATGACAGTAAAAAATGCGATGTGAGTGACCAATGGGGTGAACTTACTGATGATTCCCCATGCATGCTTCACTAACATTTAAAAATTGTGTACATTGCGACGACAAAGCAGACACGTGAGCTTAGCTGACGACCATTAAGATCCATACCCTTTGTCGTGATAAGGAAACGGGGACGGGAGTGAAGACGACATTGAAACAGAGCGTGCGAACTAGCGTGAATAATCAGTATTTAATGGTGCTTTGCAGTGTGTAGAAAGTGTGCGCACGCTTGAGTTCGTCTTTCAGCAGTCGAGCTGCCCATATCAATATAGGTCGCGCTCTTCCTCAAATAAACGTGCTTTGGCTCTGCAATATTTCGTATTTGTTCTTTCGAGTTTATTTGAGCATAACGCGGTCACGAATGTATACACAGCACAAGTTGGTCAGCCCACATGTTTTGTTTGCGTTTATGATCTTTGCGCAAATTTTTCCTACATTTACTAGAGCGACTTCTGAAATTGACGAATGATATTTAGCGGTTCCTTGGGGTTCGTTGTATCAAGATTTCACTGTAGTACAAAAAGACATTCTGCAATGGTCTTTGTCTAGAGGTTCAAAGTAGTGATAAGCAGAACCTCTTACCACAAGTCGATATGAGCTGTGTGTGTCTGCTACGTTCGCGACGAGTACGACTTACTATTGTAATCGGAGGATTGAGCTCTGCTTGCTGCTGCCAAACTTGAGCATAATTATTTTTTGAATGATCGTTGAACAGTGAACACAAAAGGAGTGGGAAGACATCTCCGAGTGGCGTTACTTTCGAATGCTGTGCCCTCGTGATGCGCAAGCAGCAGACAACGCCCTTTCGAGGAATGGGGCAATGTTGAGACCTGCTGGAGAAACTTTGGTGGCAAAGCCAATCAATCCGCCTTTTTTTTTTTTTTTTTCATGATACCCTGGCACATGCGCCCTTGTTGCAGAAAAGTGACAAAACGTCTCTTCATCTCAGAGGCATGCAACACTAGTAGTACCAGCCCCTGCCAAAATGGCAGAGGGCAGCACAGGCAAATGAAAGAGGCATATTGCAAGCCTTGAAACGAACTTCAAACATTTGCTTTTTGTTTGCCTGTTTCTAAATGGAGGATCTATCTGAACAGGAAATTTTCATTTTGAACACGTAGAAATGCCCTTTCCGACGAGCGCAAAATGGCAGTGTCCTTGTTGTGCCATTGCAAAGCAACATCTCTTTTTTTATATCAATCAATCAGTTTATTATCATGTCATAAAACAATGTTACAGGGAGTAAAATATACAGAAGAGGGTCCCAAAGTACAAGACTGCAACGGGACCCTCGCTTCTTTATGCTTCTTTTACAATTTCGATGATATTTGCCACATTAGCAGGGGCGACAAATTTTCACAGTACCTTTAGGTAGTTTTCAGGCAAATATATTTTGTAGTTGGATTGAAAAAAGGCTGCATAAACTTAAAATGTGATCTTGAAAAAAATTGTTTCATCTTTTACGCACTCGTGCCTGTTGGGCAACGCTAAAAGCTATGCGCAGAAAGCAAGTGACCTCTTCCACCGGCACTTCAGACTAGTTAGCTGCTTGAGACCAGTTATATCTGTGCGATTTAACTAAACAATGTGTTATGAAAGATAGGAGGCAAGAAATAAGTGCGAGTGTCATTTAGCAAAGTGACACAACTTTCTTCCTTGTAAAGTACAAAACAGCTGCAGAAGTTCTAAACATATTCTGCCCCGCCGCGGGGGTCTATTGACTAAAGTACTCGGCTGCTCACTTGCAGTCGCGGGATCGAATCCTGGTTGCGGCGGCTGCATTTTCGATGAAGGCGAAAATGCTGTTGGCCTGTGTTCTTTGATTCGAGTGCACGTTAAAAAACTCCAGGTGTTTGAAATTTCTGCAGCCCTCCGCTACGGCGTCTCTCATAATCATATGGTGATTTTGAGGACGTTAAACCCCTCATATCAATCAACTAATCTCCCGCCGGCGCCGACAACAATCTCCCGCCGGCGCCAACCTGTGAAGTGTTGTCGGCGCCACTCACATTTATACCAGGTCATGTAAATAAAAGCAATTCTTTATAGCATTTCTGGCGAATAAGACTTAGTAGCACCTCTCCAGTGCTTTTTCAACCTTCCAAAAAAAAAAAAAACTTTCATGTTTTTACTACATATAATATGCCTAGGGATTCTCTACAACAATTTATTCTGTAATATGGCTTCAAAGTATTCAAAAGGTATTCGAGAAATATCTGAAAATTGTTCAACTCGATTCACACTCGGGCTTTATCACTTAAATTTGTTATTCGCACAGCTCTTTTACAAATAGACCAGTGTGTGTCTTGGAAGCGTAAACAGGTGTGAGCCACGAGGCAACTGTTTTGATGGTTTAAACATACAATAGGCTATTTATAGACCGAACATACTGCAACATACATACCCTTAATACATACCTTAAGGGTATGTACACCCACCTTAAAGCATACATACCTTAAGGGTATGTATGTTGCATACTATGTATGCAACATACATACCCTTAAAGCTAACAAGCCCAGCAACTAAAGTGGAGTTTCCTGATCAAGATAACAGAAAGTCACACTCACAAGCGCTTATAGCCAGAAGCCAGTTTCCGTGGAAGTCGCGAACAGAGCCAGTGTAATCATTTTAGCTACTTAACGTACCATTTCGGAGAGAAATCCTTTTAGAATTTCCAGGTAATCTTCGTGGCTTCGTGTGGACGTGTGTTGGACAAGTTTTCTGTTTAGTGTGAGCCTTAGCTTATCTTGCAGTTTTCCTGAAAAATTGATTTAACATGTGCATTAACATCCCACATTGCATACCATTGCACTGTTTTAAGATTAACATGCATTTTTGTGGCATTTGTTTGTCACGTCCATTTAATTTCCTTGCATACTGACTTGTTTTTACAATATGTACTACATCTTACTTCCAGCAGCCACAGCTGTTGGAATCCTGGCGGTCCCCTCCAGCAACCAGGCCTCCTCAAAATCCTGTACAACACAGTGGGTATTGCCTATGGCATATATAAGAAAAGCTCCCTTGTTTGTAAAGGCCAGTAAACAACCCTCTAGGTTCAAAAAATGTTATGAAAAGAAATGTGCAAACTTTTGCTCTGTGGACATGCTGCTGAAAGCATTTTTCGAATATGTGCTATAATAAGGAAGTTACATGGAATAGAACATCCGTTTCAGCTGGTTTTAAATTTTCGCACGGCCTAGCCACCGTTCTCAGCGTAAGTCCGTAGTCGTGACTCCTCCCACTTTGGCAGCGTGACACAATTTCGGTGATACATCATCGCCGCGGAGCCAACGGCCAGGCAGGGCATCCCCGACATGAGTATGTGTCATAGCTGTGTGAAAAGCAAGAGCAGTTCAAGTAGCACCCTTCTCCTAGCAGAAAAGTAGCGAGATGCCTCTTTATCTCGTAGGTTTTCGTTCTAGCAATATCGCTTCTCCCAGTTGTCTCAGGCTCTACAAAACCGCAGAGGGCAGCACAGGAAAATCAGAATGCAGACTGTGCAGGCAAAACTGTATCAAGGCAAAACCAAAGTACCATTTCATAGGGTAAATGACGAATCGATGAGATCAGTGGCATGTAATGTTGCCCATGGGCAAGCTTATCACCGCGCATACTAGAGGAATCGGTCAGAAGGAAAGAGGTACGAAAATTGTTTTTTGAAATGGAAGGGTCTGTGCTGCGCATGGTGCTGTAATATTTGGAAAATGTGATCGTCGAGGTCTGCTGTACAAATGGCTGAGCTTGTTTGAGGGGCGGGGGAGTAAAAAAAAAAGTCTGACCCTGTTTACTGGCCCTTTATAGAATACTGGATATGTATGCAGTATGTTTTTGTGCCTAATCCGCCTTTGTATATAATTATGCACCCAATAATGAACTGTGAAAATATAAAGCTCAGAAAAAAAAAACTCTTCAGGACCTCTCAATAAAGTTTGACTGACTGAAATAAAGTTTGACTGATTGCCGATAAGCCAACTTGTGCACCGAAATTCTCATATAATCCGAACCTGATATTTACTCTGAAAGTTTTGGATATTTTGTGCAGGTCATACTTGACAAAATGCAGTTGCTGTTGTGGTTGCTTCATTGTCGACAATGAACATTACTTCTTTTTTTTTTTTTCAACTGTTTAGTCGGTCAATATTGATATCTGCTTGATGGCAGTACACTATTTCCAACTTACTTATGGAAGTGTGGTTTACTTTGTTTACATATTCTCAAGCAGTTATTCAGTAACCAGTGTGGTTCAACACTTACATACTGTAATACACGGAAACCTCAATACAAAGAACTCTGACATGACAAAGTATTGTTCATAACGAAGTAAATGATGAATTGCCCCAGCAATGGATGTAGTGTTATAAATACATCTTTATAACAAGTTTTTGCTTATAACAAACTCATTCCGGTGTAAGATGCAACTATGTTATAATGAGTTTTTAGTTAATTCGATTACATGTTCGAAGTTCTTGGACATTCATGCAGTCCTAATCCAGAGTCATCTGACACAAATGGTCCTGGCACGTCTTCTTTGTACTTTCAGGGTTGCCTATGCGACAGCAGCAGCAACCGCATCAGCCTCAGCAGCAGCAACAGCATCATCAGCAGCAGCAACCGCAACAACACCTACAAGGCCAATTTGGAAATGCATTTCCTCCTGGGGCCCCTCTGCATCACCAACAACAGCAGCAGCAGCAGCAGCAGCTCCAGCAGCAGCTCCAGCTGCAGCATCAACATCAACAACAGCAGCAGCATCAACATCAACAACAGCAGCAGCATCAACACCAGCAACAGCAGCAACAGCAACTTCATCAACCTCAGCAGCAACAGCCACCTCTGATGAGCAGCGGAGGCCATTTGTTCCCGCCCAGTCCGGCATACCAAGGCGGGCCCTTGCCGAGGGTGGCTGGAGGTCCACCCCATATGGCACACCATCCTCAGGGAGCAAGCATCTTGGTAAGAGCTTTTGTGCGCAAGTAATGGAGACTTTACGGATCATTTTATGTTCACTTCAATTCAGAACCTTCATATAAATGCTGCTAGGGGAGGTTGTACAATGTACTCAGCTATGTGTGCTACAGTAAAATCCCGTTAATTCGGACTTCACTGGACAGGAGAGAATGTCCGAATTAACTGAGGGTACGAATTATCACGAGTACGAACAAAACACTTGAAAAATGTCTCCTACATCATCAAACTTTTATTTCGTAAAAAAGTCTGTGATCGCGGTTTGCTTGACGGGCGCAATGTGCGACGAAGTCACAATATCGCGAAGTTCCTGCAGGTGGCTTAGTCCGCGCACACTGCCTGAGGAAAGCATGCATATGTCCTCCAAAACGGTTAGCGCATGCGCAGCCTCCGTGATAGTATGGCATGGATGCTCGTCAGCATCACTTACGTCCTCCTCAGCCGGTTTTCCTTCGCCGTCCAAGACTTCGGCAACGATATCGCTATCGGTCACATTGCCGACCACGGCAACATTGCTGTCAATTGCGAAGTAATCACCCAGGGGCACATCAGCTGGCATGATGCTCAGATAGCGGCGGTCTTGCTTTTCGCTGGTTTCCTCACTGGCCACCACCCCCGGATCAACAGCGTCGTGCACGAAGCCGCTATGCGTAAAGCAGTTTCCGACCACTGCAGGCGGTGTGTTGTTCAGCACTTATGTCAGCATGTGGATTGCGCTTAGCAGGCTTACTTCGTACTGCTTGCCTGACTCCATGCAGAGCAACATTTGCTCAAGTACCTGCCATCGATAAAGCCTTTCACCAACTGTATGATTCCCTGGTGCAGGGAAGCCGTTGTGTTCCGAGGGAGGAATAGCAGTTCAATGTTCTTGAGCCCGGACACCTGTGTGTGTGCACTACAGTTGTCTACCACGAACAACACTTTTCGAGCCTTGGCCGCAAAGCGGCGGTCGAGCTGACGCAGCCAGGCTTGAAAGAGGTTGGCAGTCGTCCAAGCCTTTCTGTTGATCCAGTAGTCGACAGACAGCTGCTCAATATTCTTAAAACATCTTGGCTTTGGAGCCTTCCCGATCACCAGTAGCGGCAGCCGCTCCGTGCCAGTCATGTTAGCAGCCAGAAAAATTGTCACACGCTCTTTACTTCGTTTTTCACCGATGCACGGGTCCTCCTTTAACACGATTGTCTTGTCAGGCAGAGCCTTGCGTAGCCTTAGCACAAATGCTACACTGATCTGTCTACATGAAGAGAGAAGACACACAGTCAAACCTGTTTATAACAGATTTCAAAGTGATGCGATAAGTGGTTTTTATATTAGTAGTTCATTGTACAGTTGAACCCGAATGTGATGGAATTTATGAATTCCCGGAAAATTTGTTATAAAGAGGATTTCATTATATGCAGGTTCGGTATGAGAATTCAAAAAATAAATGCACAAATTAAACAAACGGAAAACCAAAGGCAGAGCTAACCCAAAACACTTACAGTCGACGTCTGATTTTTCGAACGTCCGAAATTCCAGACATGCCTGATTTCCCAAACTCATCTGTGGCATTGTCAAGCTCCCTATAAAGTCAATGTATTAAATACAGTGGACTTTAAAACAAACTCGAAGGGACCGCATCATTTGTTTGTCGTATCAGGAGTTTATCTTATCAGAAGTGCCCCCCCCCAAACCAAATGCTAACATGTGCCTACCGTATAAACCGGACTATAGGTTGAGTGGGAATATAGGTCAATCTCCCAAGTTCAGGTTACCGAAAAAGAAAAAAAAAGGAAAACAACCCAAAACTGCCGAACCACATTTATTCGTGAATTGGCGCACCGCATCCCGATCGTCGGAGCTCCCCTCTACCACCATCGCAACTGCTCCTATTCATCCAACGAAGCACCACTGTCTTCTGAAGATGAGAGTTTGTCGATGGCCACCTCCCACAGTGCGTCGTCTTCAGTGCCATCCAGGGAGTTGCTGATGCAACATTTCTTGAAAGAATTTTCCACCATGGAATCCGGCAAGGAACGCCAGGCGGAAAGCACCCAGCCACAAACAGTCGCAAGCGGAGGCCTCTGTAGGCGGCCCATCGGTGTCTTGGGGTTGTCGCCGGACATCCACTCTTTGTATTCCAGCCGCACTCGGTCCTTGAACGGCTTGTTTAGTACAACGTCGAGCGGCTGGAGGGTGGACGTCATACCACCTGGTATCACGGCGAGATCCATTTTCCCGTCGCCGAGTGCGCGTTTCACTGCGTCGGTCAAGTGGCCACAAAACGCATCCAACACCAGCATGCTGCGAAGACGCAGCAGTGCACCTGGCCGACGGTTCCACACCACTCGTATCCATTCGAGCATGATGGCCTCGTCCATGTATTCCTTTTTCTTGACGCGAACGACAACACCGGGCGGGAACACTTCCTTCGGCATTGTCTTGCGTTTGAAAATGACAAAGGGCGGAAGCTTTCTACCATCTGCCGTGCATGCCAGCATGACGGTGAAGCACAAGTGCTCGTTGCCAGTGGACAGCAGCTTCACATCCTTGGCGCCGCGCTGCGTGATCGTGGTCGACGAAGACATGTCAAACCACACGGGGGTCTCATCGGCGTTGCCAATCTGCCCCATCATGTAGTCGTTCTGCTCCCGAAGCCGGTTTACGAAGCGCTGAAAGTTTATGAGCTTGTCCTCGAACTCCTTCGGCAACTTTTGACAGATGGATGTGCGCCGCCGGAGAGAAAAATCCCTTGCGTCGCATAAATCGATGCACCCAAGAGTTTGGTGCACGAAACTTTTCTCTTGTGAGCCCAGCTTCCCGAGCGAGTTCCACGGCTTTCTTGCGAATGGTATCCACGGTCACTGGCAGCGAGCGCGCACGAACTTCCCGCACAAAGTCCGCTAGCTTATCCTCCAGCTGTGGATGAACGGCACTTCGTCCACGAAACGACGTTTTTCGAGGATTGTACATCTGCAGCTTCCCTTTCTGCGCCCTCCAATAGCGCACGCTTTTTTCTGATACACCAAAGCGGCGCTGAGCAGCCATACTCCCGTTCGCTTCTGCGAGCTTAACAACATCTAGTTTAAATGCAGCTGTGTACTGCCTCTTCACACCGCTAGACATATTCAGTGAACGGGAAAAACAAAGGCCACTAAAAATGCAGCGCAATGTCAAGCGGAGCGAAAACTCAGAAAGATCGGAAGCAAATCACGAACACAAAGAAAACAGACTGCGATTGGATTTGGTTGCGGATATGGCCGCGTCTGTCTTCACAAGCACATGCAAGCCATATGTTGCCAGACAGCGTCCCACTTTCGGCTAGACACCGCTATTTAAGACGAGGGGCGACTTTAGCTTATTACTTTATTGAAAAAATCTCGATTTATATTCCGGTTTATACGGTAAGTGCGCCTAAATATGTTGCTTGAAAACACTGAATAAAGTGTACTTATAATGGGAAAGAAAAAGAAAATCACATATATATGTGATTATATATATATGTGTGTGTGTGTGTGTGTGTGTGTGTGTGTGTGTGTGTGTGCGTGCTTTCAAGTAAAGTATTTTCACTAATCTAACGAGTGCTTGATTTCGCAAGTTTGTACAAAATATGCTCATGAATAAATTGCTACCATATTTTAACAATAAAACTAGCACAACCCTATTTTGTTGTTTAGAAAAAGATAAAAAGGGAAAGACAAGCACAATTTTCCTTCAAAGAATGGAAAATTTATTCTTCTAGTTGTTCACCTTCTGAGGCTGTTTTACTGGCTTTGCTATCATTTGGATACTCCTACATTGTATACCGCTACCTCAACTGAAGCCAATATACAAGTTGCTTATGAAAGTCTTCAAGCTTTTCTGTGAGTTTCAGATATTTTCTTATTTTCAGCTTGCAGTAATTTTTCCCGAGCAACGTGCAACTGAAGATTTTTCTTTGCTATGCTCACAATCACAAGCCTCGGGCACACAAAAAGGACACGACACAGCTATATGTTGTGTGCAAAATGACCTTTCTTTGTCATGCACTTTCATAGTGAAAATGGTGCATAACAATTCGCTGCATTTCACTGCGAACAAAATGTCGCCCAAAAGCCCTATGAAAAACATTGCTAACTGACCACAACACGAGCTCAGGTGCCATTGTGTGACGGCAATGACAATGCATCTGACTCCCCTGATGGCAGTGGCTAGTGCTGCATATATGGTTTCCGTTTCATGTGAATATAATGCACAGACAATCTTTGTCGCCATTTTCACTTTGTTCCCATTCTCAATTTCATTTATCTTTTCTTTCGTCCCCCGTCCCTTGCATTTTCCCCTCTAGCCAAGCTCTTGTGTTCTTCTGTTATACTGTACTCGTGTTAAGGAACTGAAGAACGCAAGAAGAATGCGAAAGGATGAACACTTTTTGTTGCTTTCTTTGCTGATTAAGCCAGCCCTTTCTTCACCTTCCAGGCTCGGTGTGAGGGAGACACGAGCTTTAAGCTCTGGCCTTTCTTTTTCACTTACCTCGCTTTCTCCCTCCACGTCACAATTTGTTTTCGATTTACTTTGAATCCTTGCGCCAGGAAGGCCCTTTTTTTTTTTCCATTTTGCTTACTCTTGTTTGCTGCATGCCCCCATCAAGGCTATTATGTTTGTTGTGCAACAAAAATGGGGATTCATCGTTGTTGGTCTCTCCGGCAGTTAATATAAAGAAAATCTTTAATTTTGAAAAGGGATGAGGTAGAAATTGATTGCCATAGGGTAAACGAAAAAAAAAAAAAAGAATAATCAAGGCACAGGCTGGCTGCCGCTTTCTCCGCTGTAAAATGTTGTCACATGAAAATGGATCATTTGTCCCTTGAAGCTTAACAGCTAGGGGCTCATCATGGTTTTAATCTGTTTCTGAAAACTAAGCTCAAGGTAATCGGTATGCTTAGCAGGGATGGCTACATTTGCCAAACATGTGGCTTCAAGAACATGCGACAAAGATGTAAAAGCACAGGCCATATAATACAAGCTTGTGTTTTTTTTTTTTTTGAAATATTAATAGATGGCGCTACAAGTAAAACAATGAGACGGAAAGTTTTTGGCAGAACTAGCTGTCTCATTTTTTCTGCTGCATAATTACTAGCGAGCCATCATGCAAGCTTTTCTTAAAGTTCATCGGCAGTAAGCCAACGGTAAACTGGTGTGTATTATAGCTCCCCTTTAGTGAGTGAGATGGATAGCATGAGCGGTGCAGCCTGGTTGGTTAACGCAGTGCACTGAGGAGCAAGGGGTTGCTGGTTCGAATCCCCAGTAGGGTGCCTTAGAATTTTCGTGTTCTGAGATATATATATATATATATATATATATATATATATATATATATATATATATATCACATACATGCATACTTATACATATCAGTGACATGACGTTCATGGCGACGTCAAAAACTAGCCGAGACTGTTCATATAATATAATTGCTATTGCAACAACAATAATAATAATAATAATAATAATAATAATAAAGAAAAGGATCTTATACTAACACTTGTAGGGCTTGAGAGGCCGTGAAGACTTTACAGTTCCCTGCTGTGCCGACAAACTTCTCTTCACAGTGGTTACATCACATGCGAAACAAAAACTGAAAAAATTTATGGAGTTCCCATGCATTCTTGGTTCTAATCTGCTATCATCCCTTGTCGATATGATCTTGGATGTCACCTTGCTTATCATCGCCTTACTGAATGCCATAGTCAGCTATTTAATGTGTTGCTCTGCACCCAGTGCTATTGAAGCACCATCGAAACCAGTTAGATGTAATAACTAAGAAAGCTTGTTTCAAAGCTGGTTTTGTGGAGCTTGAACTTGGAGGCTGTCTTTCTTGTGCCGTTCTGTGCAAGTAGCATGTCGTAGAAGACTCAACGAGATGGATAATGGTCTTGTGCAGGAGCAGCAACAGCAGCGTCAGTTCCACCAGCCTCCATCACCACAGAGCTCAGCTGGAGGAAGTCCGTTTCCTCCCATGCAAGGGGGAGGCCCGCCACGCTATACGGGTCCAGTGTCCACAACCACAAGCTTCGGTGCGCCACCAAGGTTTCAGCAGCCACCACCTCCACCACGCGAACCTTTCGGCAAGAGGCCCAGCCCTGCCTTGCCTGCGACAGCACCACCCAAGACACCACGTCTTGAAGCCCCGCGAATGGTAAGTGTAATATACAGGCAACAAGTGCGTCTATCAGCAAATATGTCCGGCTACAATTGTAGTATCAACTCTCAGTGAGAGATTTGCCAGTGCCAACGCAGGCTTCATTAAATCCTCGAAAGAAGCCATAAGAGCAGACTGTTGCAGTGTGTAGAACCAGTTCCAAAGTGTCTAATCAAACTTATACGGAAGTGTCGGAACCAATAGTAAATCTCTCTCTTTTTGTGAACCAACCTGTTATTTTTCGACTTTCTTAGAATTAACTTGAACTCAATCTTATTGGAGGATCTGTTGCAAATTGGTTCCACATGCGACTCAAAAAGTCTTGTGGTTGCTTTGCTATTCTCTGATAGAGCTTGTCGAAGTGGAAATGTTGAAAAAAAATGCTCTAGGCCTCTAATAGTTTTGAAACTTCTTAACTGCTTCCGTCTTACTGGCTAAGCACAAATAACTTCATATAATGGAAATATTTTTTTTTAATTGATATCGATGTTAGTGATTGCCAATAGATGATCATGGTCATTAAAGTTTTCTGGGAAGAAGATATAGAAACGAATATTCTGAACAGAACCTGAAGGAACTGAGAAAACAGAACCTGAAGGAACTGGGAAAATATGTTTCAGGCTGTATTATATTTTCATCTAATACTGTACTTACTCTAAAGTAATACAAGTGTTTTTCCCCAAATATTTGCTACCAAAAGCCTGCTTCACATGCAGGTGATATTGCCCCAAGAGCGCAGCGGCAGCCTTCACACAAGATCAAAACAGTTTTCCAGAGCCTACTAGACGCTGCGATCAACTTCGCCAGAGCTGAAAAAATTCGCTTGCGGCAGAGCATCCTTTAAACGTACAGGAAATTGCATGCATGCCGTTGACTGCCTTGTGGCTGTTAGCTGATGATGTACATGTATGTTTTGACCCGCAAAAAAGTTAATTATTGCAGGCCCTTGCCATGGTTATGATTGTTTACATAAGAATGAGTTGGAAGGAATTACTGTATTGCCATGAGACTTCCCTGTAGCAGAACGAAAAAGGGGCTCTCTGCTGTTCTCATGTGTAATGGCATACTTGGAGTCACGGAGCGCTATCAGCATTTGTTTTTCTCACATTATGTGTATGGCTGCCACTATCTAATGTTGATGCACTGCATGGTAGTTGGGACTGATGGACATTTTGGTTTCTGCGTGACTGCCCTCGTGGTGATCATGCTACAAATATGGACAATTTAATGGGTTTAAGCCAACCTCTTTTAAGAATTCAATATTTTTATGTATGCTGCAGCCTCGGAAGCAAAGCCAGGGTCCACCGGCTCGCACGGTGAACAATGCCAACATCAAGGAAGTGCCAATCTTGGATTACTTGCCGCCGCCCGAGCCTGAAAAGGCAACACTGCCTCCAGCAATTGAAGAGGTAACCTCCCCGACATGATAGCAATTTGTTGTGCTGAATACTCTATACCGTCTATACGAAAAGCCTTCGAAGCAGCTATAAGCTTGTTTTGGGCAGTATGTAAGCAATGCTTTGGAGCAGGGTTGCTTAAACCTGTGTGCTCATGCAAGACCACATTTTATGTTTCTTTTCTTTTATCTCTTTTTTTTATTTCCAGGACGCAGCCACTCAAGAGCTTCGGCGTAAAATTGAGGAACAGAAGAAGCTGCGAGAACAAGTTATGCGTATCAAGGAAGAGCGTCGAAAACTGGCTGTCATGCAGCGACAGAAAGACTTGCTGGAGCAGAGGCTTCAAGCTACTGCACAACCACCAGGTACAGAAAAGGCAAAATGCAAAGTGTGACCTGAAATATCGCGCACGATAAGGAGTGAAACTTCAGGTGTCTATAGAGGCAAAGCATGCGCAAGAGAAACATTCTTTGCTGCACACTTGACGTGCTTGACTTATCAGTTTATTAAATTATGTCGCATTTCTTTTCTTGCTTGAAATTCTCGCCTACTTACGTTTACCGCACTGTTCTTGAACACAAAGTATTAGAATGCTAAACAGAATGTAAAGCAAGACACTAAACTTGCACGAATATTCGAATGGTTCGAATATTCGAGCGAAGAGTAGAGTATTCGAATTCGCTTTGATTCGAATTTAAATTATTGAAAATATTGAAGTACTCTTAGCAATGAACAAGTACAGTCTAACTCCCCTACAATGAACACCGCTGCAACGAAAAATTCACGATCACCAGTCAGCAGTCTATAGGAGTCAGTGCATAAATATTGTCGCCACAATGAACACTTTTTCTTCGATCGTCCCGCTTCAACAAAATTTCACAATGCACTTCCAGGCTCAGATACTTATTTTGCTATGCAGTAAACCAATCTTTAACATTTCAATGCATTTTCAGAGCCTGAAAATGCATCAACGAAGTCTAAAACACGCATTGGCACCACCGGAAACCGCTGCTGTTCAGCAAGCACGGGCGCTGCCATTGCTTGATAGCGATGGCAATGAAGACGTCCCTGTTTTTGTTTTGCCACTGGCTTGCTTTTGAGTCGCAGACGATCCGAAGCTGAAGCTCAGTTGCTCAGTTCATGGTTTCCTTCTTGCATCTGCTGGTGCAACCGCGGCACAATGCCTTTTTCGATTCCGATGCTTATCATTACGTTCGCGCTGGGCTAGTGTGGTAACTAATCAGAACGGCTGTTCGTTCGCATTATCAGCAAAAATCAGCTAGCCACGAGTGATGGATGATAAGAACGGCATGGAATAATGCAATAGTCGCCGCTCCACCATACCCTGCCTCCATCTCGGCGTTGTCGGATACTTTTGACGGCGGACAGCTACTGGTGTTAATGTGTTAATGCCACTGTTTGGTTCGTTCACGAAAGCGGTTTTAGGCGTTGTTTCAGCGTGCTTTCACTATGGGCTCGCTATGAAAGCGTGAGAATCACGTCTAGACGCTGCTGGGAAATAATAGGATGCAGCGAACATTTTTTGAATTTTGAGAATAAACGTTCCTTTGTTTTGATCGCTCAGATCATCTATATATTTTTTTATTTCACTACAATGAAATTTTCGCTTCAATGAAATTTTTTCCGCGCCCTGTCAGTTTCGTTGTAGCGAGTTCAACTGTTAATGTAAATAATTTTGCATGTAAAGGTGGTTTCACTGCAGTGCAGTCACCGTGAAAGCACCTCTACAGGGTAAGTTTGCCCTGCCAGGAACCCCCCTTCAAGTTCATAGTTACCTGCTGCAACACTTTTTGAGCATGGTCAGAAAATGCTGCTGTTTGGTAGTTGAGGCTACCGAGAAAATGCAAGCCAAATACTATAGTGCAGCACACTGCCTGGAATTGACAGCGAAATTCTCAAAGTCAGCTAAGAATTGCGCTCTTCTCTTGGCAAATGACACCACAAGCTTAAAAATACCTCGTCACAGCCATTGCATCAGCCATGGGCTGATTTGAGCATGGCGCTCTCAGTCGTTCCTTAAACTGCCACCTTTCCACGCATACGTGCGCATTTGCACTGACAAGCTGCGTATTCGAAGGAAAAAAAAAAGAAAAAGTGCTGAAGGTTAGATTTTCCCCTTATCATCCTTCCCTGCTGAGCTTCCTGTGCTTTCGTCGGGACATGAAGAAAGAATGCAATTGCAGCTTGCAACAAATCTTTGCAACTCCGCTTATACTGGACGGATTCTAAACATGCTTGCGGCGGCGAATTTGTGAGGCAATAAGCTTATTTTGAGAATCCATTCCATGGCTACTTGAAAAAGTGTTGCAGGGCCCCTTTAAATGAACCTATTACCCCCAAATCAATTCCTCATTTTATTTAGCTTGAAAGCTTGTTAAGATGGCTTATATGCTCTTTGTATAATAAAGTTTAAAAGGTTGTGTAATTCACAGGTTATCACTCGCATCCTACGGAAAGTCAAATCCTGCTACTTTTGAGTTGTCTGGCTTCCTTTAAATGAAAAAAAAAAAAAGCATTTGCATAGAGGCTTTATTTTAATTAAAAATATATTGTGCAGGTTAGTTAGGTCATGATAAATATACTCATTTTTCTTTATATGTCATATATACTATTCGAATCCTGATTCGAAATTATTTAACCAAACTCAATATTCACTTCAAATTCGCTTTGAACCGAAAATTCACTATTCCCACAAGCCTACAATACACTTTAGGCTAGTGTGTATAGCGTATTGAAAGTTGTATACCGCAAAGTTGATTGGTTGCACTTGTCAAGCAGAATACATGATGATAAAGTGTACATACTGAGGGTAATAAAAAGGAATGTCAACAGCATGGTGCATTAGTTCTCCCCTTTTTAACCAGAAGGTCGCGGGGTCCAATTCTGGTTGCGGCGGCTGTATTTTAAATGGAGGCAAAATGTTAACAGGCTTGCGTACTTAGATTTAGGTGCGCAGGAGAAACCCAGGTGGTCAAAATTTCCCGAGCCCTCAACTACAACGTCCTTCATAATCTGCATAGTTTTGGAACGTTAAACTCCAGATATTATCGTTACTGTTAGTGTTTCTCTACTGTTAACTTTCGTTTTTATTGCACACATGCTTTGGTGGGGATAACAGTTATGCTTGGCTTTTACTGACTTAGTGTAGTAATTACCAAGGCACAACAGAGCTAAAGGAAAGCCTCGCCAATGGAGTGCATAGTCAATCAATGAACTTAATTAAAAATTTAATTACACATTTCTCCCATCTCATCAACGCATCCCATCAGGATGGGATGTGAAGCAGCAGCGTTGCGCATGGCCGCGATCGGCATTTTTGACTCGTGCCTCGTCGGTGCCGTTGGTCTTCTGCGGCCGACGCTTACGTTTGGCTTCCCTGGCGCGTGCCTCGTCGGTGTTGCAGGTGCGACGTCGCCATTCGCGAACGCGATCGGCTTTGCTCATCCTTGCAACACCGGCAACGGCCAGGTTAGGCCAAATCGTATCAACGCATGTTTCAGCGGGCGAAGGAGCTTCACTTTTCGGCGTCCTATCCATCGCTGATAAACGAGCAGGAGGAGTGTTCGCTCAATGCGCGCTCGAACTTTCTGAGTGGTGGAATGTAAAGCGAGAGAAAGGTGACACGTGGCGAGCGTGCGGCAGGCGAAGGAGAGAGTGATGTCACCGTGCACTGCAAGGGATAGCGTGACCTACTTGGCACTGCCCCAACATCTGCGGCAAGGGGAAAGCGGTGCGGGGCGTTGGCACGGAGACACAGACAGGCAGCGTTTCACAGGCTAGTCAAAGAGCTGCTTCACATCTAAAAATTATCCTGAGGAGCTGCACCCTTGGGACAGGAAGGGCGGGCCCTTCCACCTAATTGCGGGCCCTCTGGACAGCCTGTACTTGGACCTCCCTCTACAAGATGGCGTTTGTTGTCCTCCAGCGCGTGACGGGATTCTCTCTGGCCATCCCAATTGCCGCGCTCCTCAGCAAAACCAGAGAGTACAGCCACACGCACGCACTCGGCTACCGCGAAGGGGCGCATTTAATGTGGGTTCCTCGAGTGCACGGGATTTCAGCGTGCACATGATTTTTTTTTTCTCGCGTGTGAGCAAAATCACAGATGAATCTTCTGGCTGCACTGAAGACAAGTATTTTTTTTTTGTTACTGCTTTTATTTTGGTCCAATTGGCAAATAAAAGCATTGCAGCTGCTGTATTTTTCTTATATAGATCATTGCAAAAAAGGTATCATTTCGTCTGTGACAGAGGCATTCTAGCATTCCCCAAACTGGGCTAGTCGGAGGAGACTGGGCTAGTTATTGTCGTTGAATCATATTGCCGTCCTATTGTTAGAGATCGTTTCACTATTTTATCGCGCACCGATATTTATCAGGTCAACCGAATTCCACTTATGCTCTAGATAATTAAGTGTGCTGATTGTGCCACTTAATAATGTGATAAGTAATTTTGCCACAATGTTGTGAAAGGCTACGATTAGCCGACTTGCATTTACTCCCTACGTCCTTCACAGTGGAAGTAGTAGTAGTAGTAATAGACTTTTATTCAGCCAAATTTACAGGCCGAGCATTTCGACCGCCTGTGCGATCAGTCGACGCTGTTCTTCTTCCCCTTCGGCGCCGATCCAGTCGAGCCAGGAGGTGATGGAAAGGGATGGGGGAGGGTAATAGCTGGATTGCTGAGCAGTTGGGCAGTAAAACAGGCAGTGTGACAGGTCAGTGTATGGGGAGGGACAATTAGGACAGCAGGGGTTAGACCTATATTTATAAAGGAAAAGGCGAGAGGGGGTTATCAAGCAGTTCATTTGGATGTGCCGTAGAGTTCGAGCCTCGAGCGCCGTGAGTGATGGATGAGGGGGAGGGTAAAGACGCTTGTCGAGCCGGAGCTGGAGATATACCTCCTTGATAGTGTGACGCAAGGAGATCTGCCCATCGTTATTTGCGGAGCTCTCACTGTCTTCCGAAGGTGTGGGCCAGGGAATGAACGGTGCCCGGTGCAATATATCGCGGGCAAGCTGATGAGCTAGCTCATTGCCGTTAATACCCGAATGCCCAGGAACCCAGCGGAGGAAGACAGTGGAGGGTTGAAGAGCAGAGGCCGCTCGCTCGACCTCCTGTTGAAGAGCAGGGGGTAACGTGTTGTTCTGTATGTGACGGATGGCGGCGTGAGAGTCACAGTAAATCGTGTACTCGGGGAGAGAAGGGAGGGAGGAAAATGACTGCATGGCGTGGACCATGGAAAGGACCTCGAGCGAAAGTACATTTGGCGGGTGTAAGTATGGCCCGCTGGTGTGCGTGTCAGGTGCCGAAAGGTGTGGATGGTAGATAACGTAGCCACACGAG